CATGGTCTCCCTCAGTGGTTGGGGTAATAGCGAACCAACTGCAATATTTCTGTACAGATTACACTTTTCGTCATAGATGTGCTAATGCCTCTGCTGTAGTTAACATTTTCCCCAGGCGCACCAAGACTTGGATTTTTGGTCTCAAGTAAGCAAACTAAGTTCCAGGACAATAAGTGTAGCTAGAACAGAGATAATGTTAATACAATACATTAGTAACATTCAGTATTTTGAACAGACTGTATCAACATTCAGTTACTGATTATTTTTCCCTTATTTTGTCTTTAGATATATATTGATTATATTCTTTAAAACATAATCGTCTTCTGTGGAATTTTTATATAAATGAATCAAAATTTCATACTTACCAGGCATTTTCCTTTAGAGTGCTAAATTTCAATCAGTTAAATAATGGTTGATTTAATAATGCAGTGTCCTTTATAGATATAAAAGCAACTTTTAAGTATTAGTCTGTGGATAGAGACACTGTCAGGGTTTGCTGGTTTTAGGGCCAGTCTGTCTACTACTATGTTATATATCATGTTCTGAAGTCATATTTAGGAAAGTGATTACTGTCAATTTAACAGGTGCTGATTCTATGTTTAATGTATACATGTGAAAGTTGACTGAAGAAAATAATATATGAAAACATATGTATATATCTGTATATGTATATGCAGCACATTTTTTCTTTTATTTTACATGAATTATGAATTCCTATTGTTATTTTTTTTTTAATAAATATAGGGCTTAGCTGAAAACAAAAGTACTTTAGGACCTGAAGAAGTTCGTAAATCTGCTCTGACACTGGTTATGGGTGCTCTTGACAACCCGAACCCCATCTTGCGATGTGCAGCAGGGGAAGCTCTTGGAAGAATGGCTCAGGTGGTTGGAGAAGCAACTTTTATTGCTAGAATGGCCCAGTATAGCTTTGACAAGTAAGTGAGTCTCTTTACTAACAAGTTTCTCATACTGGGAAAAATGTCTTTTAAGTAATCAATAATTATTAATGGGCTCTGTGTTTTCCAAAAGGCATAGCATGTAAAAATATATTGTGTTTTTTCATAATGATCTCAATTTTTAATTCAACAGTTGATTAAACTCAATGTGGAAAAGTTATAATATGTTAGATACTTTAAATGTGGGGAGGGCTTCTACTACAGCTCTTAAATGTTTCATAATGGAATCAAGAAGACATGTTAATAAGGACTTCTCTCAGTTATGTGTATTCATTTAGGACATGCTTTAAAGTCATTTTCTCTTCCCTCTATCTTCTCCTATCCCTGATTATTCTTTCATTATTTAATCACTTTTTGTAATAAGCCATTCCTTTTCTAACTGCTACCAAGTTTATCATCTCTTAAATTATCCCTGAAATGGGAAAAAGTTAAGCATTAGGTTTTAAAAATTTCTTCACATATTATAAAGAGTGATCTCAGAGATCCAAATAAATATGATTAAGATGATAAGATATAATTATTAGTGACTGTCCAGTTGTTAATCAAGTACTTAAGTAGAGAAATTAAAGATCAAGGGTGGTCAAGCACTGATGTGTTATGTAGATTATCATTCTTTGTTATTATACGTATTGAGTAGTAAATATACCAAACTACATCATAATCATTAACAAGAGAAGACGAGTGGGACGCAGTGGTTATGAAGTAGTAGTTTTGAAGAAAAAGCATTTTCTGAACTCTTGCATATCTGAGAATAACGTTCCTTGTCTTCACACATGAATGGCACTTTGGCTGGTTATAGGATAATGCCCCAGTGTATTGTTTGAATCACTGAGTCTAATATAAGCAGGCAGAAAATAGTTAAAATATTTCCACTTAATCTTCTGTAGAATGACTTCTATTTTCTAGCAATAGATTAGTTTTGCTCTTTCCAAGTATTTGTCATTGGTTCTGAAATTACCTTTTGTTAAAAGATTTTTTCAAAGATAGCACCAATTGTAGAAATTCATTTGGTTCATACTCTGTTCATAATTGGTAAAATAGGAGTGTGTTTCTTTGGAAAGCTCTTGAATTGTATTTTTTTTTTTTAGTTACAAGAGGTTTTAATTTTTAAGTGTCCTCAGTATCTGTAACATATTGTATTTATTTTGTACATACTCTGGTGAAACACAAGGAACATTTCATTAATTTAAACCATTTAATGGTTTGTGAGTATTATTGGTGGTGCTTAGTTTCATTAGCTTTTTAAAATAATTGATCATTATCTGAAATTAATTATTACATAGATTGAAGTTAGCCATTTTTTCATATTTTAATTTATCTGATATTGGGATTTTAAAAAAATTCTCTATGAAATGTCATAATTACTTGGCAGGATTTTTTTCTTTTATACTGTTATCTAAAATAATGGTACACTTTTAAAAAATATGTGGTATCTTAAACTTGACAAAATCCGTATTTTGAAAAAACTTCAGTTTCCTGCAGCCTCATTACATTAGACTATTTTTATCAACATTATCTCTTGATGATATAATATCTGACTATGAAAAGCCAAAATCACCTATGCCTACAGATTAGTCAGCTATATTTGCACATTGAAATCTTATTCCAATTTAGCTTTAAAACAGAAATTCACAGAAATTAAGATAGGAATCATTCCTATAAACCATTGTAGGTTAATAGAAAGTAGCTTCAATTGCTTAAGACCTAGTTTAAAAAAAAAAAAAAAAAAAAACTTGCTGATTGAATTTGCTTCCATTTAAATTAAAAATCACTTTGAGACCTCTGGGAAATGTATATTCTTATATCTTAGGTTATTTATTTTATCAAATATATAATTATCACTGAGAAAATTGGTTCTGCTTTTAGCTCACTAAACTGTTACTTTTTGAGAAATAACATGAAGGCATCTTTCTAATCTGTAGAATGTTTTAGAATTCACAGATTGTGTTCATTCTTAATTTTATTCATTCCTCAAAATGATCGTTATGTAGGAGTAATGTTAATGTCCATTTTATGGATAGAGAAACTGAGACTTAGAGAGGTAGAGATTACTTATCCAAGGATGTATTAGAAATATTGTTAAGGATAGACTTAGTTCCCTTTATTCATTGCTTCATTTCTTAACATCTGTTCTATGACAGCACTTAGAATTTTTCTTTCTTTGCAATAGGTCAACTGACCAGCCGGTCTTGGTGATGATTATTCATCTCCTGACTTTCGTGAGGTTGGCAGAAGTCTGGTTGTGGATTGGCTTATCAAGAGTTATAGTACAGTTTTGAAAATGCAAATAGAGTTGTTTTCTAAGCTCTTTTGTTATTTCAGGTGCTTTGTTCTTAGTGGTATTTTGTCCTGTTTTCTAATAGTAATTGATGACATTAGTGCATGGTTATGAGTTGTAGTTATGTATGTTCTTTTCTTTGATCCTTTCCATTGTTTAAAATGAGGTATAGAGGGTAGCTCCATTAAACTTTCTACAGACAAGTTAAATATGAATAAAATGATGAAATCTGGGGCCGGCCCGGTGGCGCACTGCTACAGTGCGCCGCTTGGGAGCGCGGTGGCGCTCCTGCGGAGGGTTCGGATCCCACATACAGACCGGTTCCCGCTCACTGGCTGAGCGAGGTGCGGGAGCAACACCGAGGGTTGCGATCCCGTTGCCGGTCCCGGTCCGGTACGGGCGCGACACTAAGGGTTGCGATCTGTTGCCGGACACGGAAAAAGACAAAAAGGAAAAAAAAAATGATGAAATCTATTCTTTCAAATAAACATTAAAAAATATAGAGGACTTTCACTTCCATTCATGATGGAATAACAGGAAATGGATTTACTCTCCTTTCTTAAAA